AGCTGTATAAAAAAATTAAAAAAAACGTTTTCTTTACGCTCACCAGGTGCAAAGGTGGGCTGCTTAAAAGTCACTATAGCCACACTACACGTGAAAGGACAGGTAAAGTTATCACCTACAGCCTGCAAGTTGGCAATCATGTCAAAATGGCAAAACCATATGTCCGCTAGCTGCTGTGGCTGAAGCGTGCTGCTGCCCGTTCTCTTTCTATCTGGGCTCAAATGCAGCACAGTGTTGTTGCTTATGGAGGGCTGACAGCACAGTTGCCAAATGGGACTTTGCTACAGGGGAACCTCCTGCTTCATCCCGACTTCACTAAAATGTGACACAACAGAGAGAGAGAGAGAGAGAGATGCTGGCCATGCACTCGTCGTTACTTTACAAAACACACACACATACACACATACATACATACATACATACACACACGTTGCTCATTAGTGTTTCTACTCACCGCTTGAAGTGCTCAATGATTTTCTCTTCTCGTACATTTTCGGGTAAATTTCCCACCCATAAATGTCTGGTTTCCCGGACCATACTGTGTGCTCCTGCTCCCCGATCATACAGATGAGTTTGCTATGTCCGATTCTTCCCGTGCAAAATAGAAAACGATTGCAAAATAAACGCCGGACAACAGAAATAATACTCGGCGCAAATCATTGACTGGTCGTTGTGACCCAATGTAAACCATTAGGTTGAATCCCCGCACGCTGTTTGATACTCTTCACTGTTAAAGCGCGATCTTGCACCTCGTGAACGCGCTCCGGACTGTTCCCGTGACTAGGCGCGTCCCTGACACCATGCGACCTTTGGATGTCGAAAGAAAGCATGTAGCTTCCTAAAAAGATGCAGCAACTTCGCTTGTAATGAGAGGCACACAGCGCAGGCGTGGCTTTGTGTGTGAACTTCTTTTTTTCTCCCCGATGAGATAGTCGCCCTCCACTGCGCATGCGCGAGAAAACCCCTGGTTGACTGTTGGTGCTTTGACATCTGAGAAGCTTTGACTCGCAGGAAGATCCCATCAGTGCTCTTTGGCTATGGCAAGGTGAGGCACTTTGCATATAGTAAAACTGAACTATCCCGAGTTTATAAAACATTTCATGATTGTTTTATGCTACTTTTTTTTATCAATGCAAAGAAGAAAAAACCCAAAATGATCAAGTGAATCATCCACATTTTAAAAAAACTATCAGAGAAGCATTCAAGATGGCTCCCTCTTGGCTCATAGTTTGTTGAGGTATATCAATCATTAATCACTCTGGCTAAATATTTATATTTACAGGGTGTAATAGGGATTGGACCAGTGAGTGCCAGCCTCCTGTGGGCCTGAACAGAATGAAAGAACTAGTTTGAGAAATGGATGGAAGGACTAATTACTGATGGCCTGTTAGTCATCACTAATTACTTTATTAAACTCCAGAATTTAGTAATCAGTAATTCAGAGATTCAGTCACACTGGGTTTGGTGACTTTGACATGAAGCGGAAACTTCAGCCTGCAGGAAACAGGAAACTAAGGGCCTGTTGTAGGTGACACAGAGTGTTAATGATTAGAGCATTTGTGCCTGTGATGGGCTTCAGCTGTGACATTAGTTAGAATATGTATAAACTCCATTAAAAATCACTCTCTCAATTATTTTAAATAGATTAACTCCCTGAAGATAATAAAACAGCTTTGTGATTCTGTAAATCCAAATAACAGAAAAGATCACAGTTGAGACTCTCTATTTCAAAATTTAAGTTTTATTTAATCCTTAATTTACTTTCTGGCCCAGATAATTAACAGGAATTATAAATATAAATGAATGTCAAATTAAAAGAAAAGCCTGGAGAAATATAATAAATGTAAATGCTTCCACACAGGACAAGATGGTTTGATGAGTATGGAGATAATGTGAATCATATGCTATGGGCCCTAACAGTCATCAGATCTCAACCCAGCTGAACACCTATGTGATATTTTAGATTATGTCATCAGCAAAATCACACCAAATGAGGGAATATATTTTGGAAGAAGGGTGTTCATCTCTCCACTAGAGTTCAGAGACTTGGAGAATCACTTTATGGAATCTATTGAAACCGTTACTGAGACACATTGTGCAGATTTATCCTTTAGTTTGTCACCTATCTGTATAATAGTAGACAAATTACTGTAGTTGGTGAAAATCATATATATATTGTGACTCACCAAAACTGATCCATACATTAGTAAAAATAAGAAGTAGGACCTACTTTCTATTTGTGCAACTAAAACTGAAGTTGTCAGAGATGCAGTTAAAAAGAATATTCTCAAAAAGTTAAGACGCAGCTGTGCAATTCAATCATAGAAAATCTGTACTACGACTGGATATGACTTGACATATTTAGAGGAAGAAACCCTAATATTCTTGAGCAAAGCATTGCTGGAAATTGTGATAAAAGAAAGGATCATGTCAGAAGAATTTGCTGACTGGCATGATGAGAAACACCTGTCACAGTTGCAGAAGAGCGATACACATGAGACATGAGAGAGAAAGAGAGAAAGTTATTCATGTACATCTTACTTTATCATAATAGTAATAAAGATATATCTTTATCAAATCATTTGTCTGATTCTACTTTACTCTTTGTATTAACCTGCTGTCTGCCTTATGCTTGCACTACTGGTCCATCAGGGCAAATAAAGATTTGACTAATTTACCTCTACAGCTTCTAGTAGGTGACAAAATGGCATGGAGGCTATTAAGTCAAGAACTTTGACCTGGTCTGAGAGCTATTTCAAGCTAATAAGTAACCCATGTCCAAAGGTCCAAGAGACCAGTGGTGATAAGGACTGACGAGGGGTAAATAAAACCCGCACTTTCTGTTTGTTTTCTTTGGAACACTATCCCTGTTATTAACATGTTTATGATACTTTCTTAATGTTTAGATTATTTAAAAATATGTCAGCCCGATCAGTGTGTCAATAAAATGGTGGATGAACTTAGTTTTAGAGAATGTACATTTTGACTTTACCCATGCTGAAGCTGATTGTAAAGTTTAGCCTAAAAAAAACGCCTATTGAATGTAAGTTTAGTGAAGAAAAGCTCTGTTACTACACTACAGCATTATTCTGCTTTTGTTACTATATTAAGCATAAAGGCGGTAGTGCGCATGCGTTAAAATGCGGTAACAGGGGACACACACACAAAACCGCTGTGCGCATGCGTTCGGCGTGCCTATCAGATGAGAACAGAAACGTCTGGAAATCTCCAGAGGAGGCGACAACAACCGCTCAGCCATTGCAATGGGCATTTTCACCATATTCGGGTGCTCATGGAGAACGTCCTCCCTGTGTCTACTGAATTCGTCCTGATGTGGAATTTTATTCAATCAAAAATCTAATAAACCTATGGGAGTACAAATATCCTATTTTGGTGGATCGACTAGACACCAAATGTAAATTTCCTCGTCAGTGATTTCCAGACCTGGATTATCTTGGAAACTGGACCGCCAGGCCAATGTGCCCACTGTAATTCCACAAGCCTTTTGTTTTCTGTGTTTTTTTGTTTTTTGTTTTTTTGTCACGGAATGACGGGACTGATATCACAAAAAACCCTCTCATGGAATATGTTTCTGTCAGTCCTCTGCTCTCAATAAAGACACATCTAATGGGCATAATACCGGCGTCAATATGTGGATTTAATTTGACGAGGGTGTTTAAAAAAAGAACCCAATAAACTGACAGAGAGTCAGGCTGTAACGTTAGTGAGACCGTGTAGTTTAGCAGAGGCTAGCATGTAAAGGCGGTAACATGTAGTTAACGTCCCTCATAAACAAAGCCTTTCGGGTGTTGTAAAGCTAATTTGGTGTCAGTAGGCCTACGTAGTGTCCACTGATGTGGGTTTGTTGACTCTGTTGAAACGGTATTTGTTCGACGGAGCAAAGGTCAGAGCAAAACCGAGTAACCTAGCCTTTTCTTTGTCTAACGCCATTTTGTGTGACATTAAAGCGCTAACGTTGTCGTCAGCCATTTTGCCTTTTCTTTTCATCGAGTAGAGACAGACGACAAAAACAGAACGGTGAATTTAAAGGCCCATACGTTACGTGGAAATAAGCTAACCCACAGTGTAATTTAAAAAGAAATAACAAGCTTACCAAGTGCCTGAACTGTTAGGTAGTCAATGGAGGTTTGTTAGCCATGTCAGGTACTGCATGGAAGATGAAATGAGCTGGGTCCTAAAACAAACGTTAAATGATTTGTTTTCTGCACGTGAAGCTGTGTATTACAGTCTTAAAAAAAAACGAACCGCCGTTCACTTTTATAATTAATGTCTGGTACTTAATGTGAAGTATAACCATATTACGTTTATTTTTTATTAAATAAATTTGTCGGTTAATGTTTTTTTTTTGTTAGAAAATATTGTTAAAATTAAAAGTAAATAAAGTAGTTGTCAGTTTTTTCTTCCTCTGAGTACACTAATTAGTGGGATAATTAGAATCAGCTCATTGGATACAGCTAGGCCTGATTATTTAACAATAACAGTGTAAATCTCACTTATTTTCACCTTTATATGTCAGTTGGACATGGAAAGGGTTACAACACCCTTGGGCTCTTTGGGCCCCACAAAGAAAATGTTGGAGGAGAGAGTCTTCCCAGGAGTAACTGGCCCAAATCTCTCCCAAGATTACAGCATTAATTCATCCAAGAAAGATTCTTGGAATAACATCCACAACTGCAAGTCTGTTGGCTGAGTTACTGTTAGTGCACTGACAATCAGAAAGAAAATGAGATTTAGAGCCAAAATAACAATCAATAACATCAATTTCTGACCCAGACTTATAAAACAAGCATAATAATAAACCCCAAGACCTCTGGAATAATGTTATATGTGGCAGGTTATACTGAGGGTGCTATTCCACATGGAGGCAATGGTTGTTGATAATGACGTGCTACTGTTTTGGCTCATCTTTATCTCATATCAGATTGTGGTTGAAACAATTTTTCACGAGATTTGAGTTTTGAAATCACATGTTAGTCATATCATGCTGCTTGGAATTTTTAATGAAAAAATATTACATTTTAAGTACAAAAGCATTAATTGTTGGAGCTACTCTAAATAACCCCATTAAAATGAATTGCCACTAGATATTAAAAAACCACTGAGCAACTATCTGTGATGCTCCTTCTCTTGTGCTTGTGGTCTCCTTCGACGCTCACTTTTTGCGTAGTGTGTGTACTCCTCTTCATCCTAGATGCACACAAGAAACATGACAGATGAAATGCATGACACAAGAGGATAACAGAGTATAGCCAAGCTGCTGTAGCTGCAGCTGAAGCGTACAGGCTACAAAGAGTCAGGATCTACTGACATTGCTCCTGCATGTATTGTATTATAATATTCATGAATATTAACAAAGAACATATTAAAATATTATTTTTAAAAACATCCTTATGTATTATCGGACTTGTATTTATAAGGGTAATCTGATTTAAATTCATTTTATCTACCTTTTTAATTGCAGAACAGATTCAACTGTCTTTTTAAAGCCAAAATAAATGCATAACATGCCACTTTTTTTATTTGCACTGCATCAACTGCATGCCCTTTATTTGAAACTCTCAGCTATTTAATCAGGCTGGCTCAGTGAAAGGAAAAGTAGGCTCAGTATTCTGAATCAGAGAATACTTTGACCTGAATCTGTCTTGAGGGTCTTAAACCTTCTCCACCTGGGACACAAGTTTGAGAAGTTCAGCCTCATCTTGGGACCCAGTCTAATGAACGCATTGATATTCCGCCCCAGTTTTTGAGTCTCGGCGGACAGAAAGTGCTTTTGGCCCCGTGTGCTGCTTCCAGGGAGACTCACTGACCTGTGAGGATGCTGCATCCAGCAGATCCTTATTGGGGATTAGACAGCTGGCCTCACCCAGGAAACACATTAGGATGTGGAGCACGTCGGCCCAGCGTCCAACAGTCAGCATCAGGACCATCAAACCCCCGAGGCGCACCACCACTGCGTTCAGGACAGCTTGGCCGCCGGGCAGACGGTGCTGATCCTCTGCGTAACCAAAATACAGCATGAGAGGGAAATATGTGGAGAAAATGTAGGACAGGTTTGTGCAGTAGTTAAAACTTCAGGATGGGTTAGTGATCAGACCAGAGGGAAGAAACAAACTGATAAATAATTCATCACTGAGTTTTTGAGACAGGTCGTACTATCACACTGTGGCATTATTGCACCATAATGTTCAGCATTAATTTCGTGTTTTGATATGTTTCTCACCCTGCATGTAAACCACCAGCAGTGTATAACAGATAGTCAAGGGTGTCCAAAACCTGAGGGCCTCTGTTGCAGAGAGGAAGTGTTGATTAATGATTGACACAGCGGCCACCACAGCCACAGAGAAGGTAATGATCATAGTCCTGCACAGCATGGGCAGCAGACAGCGGCCTGATGTGAGGAGGCTGATGCAAATGCCGCAGTAGCGCTGTGAGCTGTGGAGTTTATAAAGAGCCATGACATGGTGCAGCAGGCGCGTGGCCTGCCGAGCCAGGAACCAGCTCAGTGCTGCTGCCAGGAGCAGACATAGCCAGCGCTGCGACGCCCCCTCGTGGAGAAAGTTCAGACTGCAGCTCAGAGCGCAGCCCAGAGAGAACTGGCTCTGAACTAACAGCTGCAGCAGAAATTTCCTGGAGTCCTGTGGGAATAAAAGAGCATATGAGCAGAACTGATGGATGAGTCAAAACAGATGATAGCCTGTGTGTTAGAACAGACGTCCTGAGTCATCATGACACGATAAAATCCAAAAATTAACTCAGCCAAATCAAACAGTAGATGCAACGAGCAAATCGTGTGATGCAGTTGAGTATCAGGTATATATTTTTTTTATCACATAATTGGTTTCTTACTGGTCCAGCTGTAACCCATCCAGAGACAGCCCGGAGACAAAACTCTAGTACGACCAGGGACGCCACACGGGAGCCCACCACCGCCAGCATCCCAGTCACAAAGAGAAACTGGAGCATTCCAGTAAGTCCAGTTTTAGTTCTCCTTTGATGACTGGGTGCCCTCTGGCTTGACGTGTCTTTATCATTTTCATCACTCCAGCTGAGGGTTGGGAGAGAAGAAGCCATTAAAGAAATTAAAGTGAACTGAAACAGGAATATTTTGATGACAAAGGGTAAAAATTTGAAATCTTACAAAACTGCTCAGATGACACATCTTACCACTGAATTCATCTTCAAGCACAAATCTATCAAAAGGTTTTCCTCACCTCTCTTCTAAAAACAAGTGCAGTCTGATCAAGGAGCATAGCACAGAGATCCCACACGCTCCCACAAGCCCTGCAGGTCACATCACACTGAATTTGCATTTCAATAATAAACACACTCCAGTCTCCTGTGCAGTTCAGAAAACAGCCTGTGGCAAAAAATTGACGTCAAAGAAAATGAACGGATGAGAGGCTCACCTTGAAGTAAGCTGTCCACTGGATTCGTATCTAGAGTCAACCATCCCGGTATGAGGTAGGAAGTCGGAAGAAACGACGTGATAAAGGATAACATATTGACTTAAAAGAAGAAACATTAATTAAAAGGGCCACAGATTTTTACCATAAATGCATGGAAGTGAATCTAAAACACTCTGGAGCCATTATTTGTGGTTATTCCAGGTCGGGTCACAGTAACGTGGAAGATCAGCTCAGTTCTTCTGTTTATTTCTGTTGCCTCAGCGTTGAGCTCTGCTCATGTAGAAGCCTGATCTGTGTCCGGTACCAAAGGTCGTCAGAGCGTCAGTGGAACAGAGGCCCTCAGCGGCCTGACTCATAACAAGATAATGAAGGTTATTGCACCATGGGAAAAAAAAACTTTACACTCTAAAGTGATGGCAGACGTTAGTTGTGCTCTCTAGTGGTCATCAAACATAGTATAAAAAAACTGACAATGAGGATTTCATCTCATGGATCTTTTTGAAAAGCAACTCAAATCAAGTTTATTTACAAATCCTGAAACATCATAATCTAATAATCTGTACAACACACAACACCCTGTATTGTTACACAACTCTCTCTCTCTCTCTCTCTCTCTCACACAGCTGATTGGGGCAGACAGATGTGGTGTCATATGCGTAAACAGAAGAATCAGTTGTAGTTATGGACAAACAGCAGGAGAATATTAATTTAACAGAAAAATATAATGTGTGATCAGTTGAAGAGTTATACTGAGTGTGTTAATTTAAAGGATTTTAAATAAAGGTCAAAGGTTTTTTGGAGTGAAGTTGAAATGTTGCATAAACCAGAAATCACTACATATACGACACTGCAGAAGAAAAACCACGAGAATAATCAATCAATCAGATTATTCCGAACCAACCAACCCACAGTTTATTCATTCATATTCTTTAATGCGTCATGATCTAGTTGAGTTTAAAACTGCACAGATAATGTATAAAGCACAAAATAATTTACTCCAAACTCAAACTGTATTCAAAGGTTGTTTGAAATCAGAGAGAGTCTGTATGAACTGAGGGGAATAAGTACATTTAAATACTTAAAAAACAAGGGTACGGACAATTAGAAAAAGGGGTAAACCTGTGGATGAGTTGTGGTAATTAATTAAGAAAGTGTAGTTCACTTGGTAAATTTAAAACAAATAAATATAAATATGAAACTGAGATATGATAATTTCTTTATTTCTTATTTTCTCTCTTTTATCAATAGTTTATCCCCAGAGTCTCATATATTCAAAGGCGCGACAGTAACAGGGAAACTAGGAACATGGTGAACGGCAACTGCAAAATAACACATTGTAGATGTAAATTTGGACAATCAGCTGTCAACTCTGGAACACATTACCAACTGAAATCAAATTAACTGAAGGATATTATCCATTGTCCAATCGACTGTTTTAATTACACTGTACATGTAAAAGCCCAACGAGGCACGAGAGTCGAAAATTAGCAACAGCTATAAACTCTTTGTGCAACACATTAGTTTCACGCTTTGTTTTGACACTATGTTAAATTGCATTGTCCCTATCAAATAAATAAATAAGGACAGAAATAAAATTATGTGGAGCAAGGTGCTTATGATGGTAAGTTTACATAAAAATGAAGTCTGCCCATCTTTTGAGGAGGTGAAACTTAAATACAACACTAGGTGAGATTTTTGGTGACGAGTGTCAGGAAACAGGGAGAGAGCTAAATGCCTGTCCATGAGGGGGCAGCACTGTACGATATCCATACAGTTAATGAATGAACAGCCTTCACTCCACCAGTCCCCGTGCAGGGAGAGCAAAGGGCAGCAAAAACAACACAAGCGCAGGCTGGAGTCTTCTTCTGCGTGTCCGTAAACCCTGGAGTCAGCCGTAATACTGGTCTAATAGGTAATGTATTTTCTTCTGACTGTTCAGATCAAGTAATTTTGGATTCTAATGTGACCTGAATGCATGTGTTAAGATCAGTGAGTCTTCAGCTCATGATACACTAGTGTATTCATGGTAATAAAATGAGTGAGTAGCTGAGATTGTTGGATTTCTTTACATGTAAAACACAAGAGGGCACTGTTACTCCAGCTGAAACATGTTTATCTTCCTCAGTACAGACACAGAAGTGTTTGAAAGGACAGAGTGATGTTGTATTCAACCAAATCACCTGTTAATGCAGATGAGGGAGTTTCACGAAATCTACATCACTAAGCATTTTGTGCTTTGCAGTCCAGTATCTGCACAGGATGTGATGAAACCGGAGACTAACTACAGCACACAGAGTTTGAATTGCCCGTTATCACTGAGCTGGAGTCATATAAGGAGGTGAAAGACAACAGTTGGATTCCAACCAATGAATTTATGACAGGCTGACCTCTGTGAACACATGAACTATGGCCGATGTCTCAGGAGGAATGGCTCTGTCAGTCTCAGTCGAGGCTTTAAAAGTGCAGGAGAGCAGAGCTTTATGGGCAGGTTGTTGACTGTTTCACACTCAGGTGAGTACAAACTCAGTTTATTTGAACATGAGGATATAATATCAACCAATCACTGCCTTTTGAATCTGATTATTTCAGTCGTGTGATCTGATTAAACAAAATAAATCCTTGAGTGACAAGATTCATCTGCATCAGAACTCATTTTAAATGTCATGTGTGTGAAACACATATAATCACATGTTGATTAAAGTGTGTTACCAGCAGTTTAAACTGATCAGACTGCAATTTGTGTTCTCCTCATAACTAAACACAATGATTAAAACCCTTTCCTCCTCACTGTGTCAGAGTGTGTGTGTCCAGGCTGAGCAGTGGAGCAGTGATTGAACAGTGATCCGAGGCAGCTGATGAACCTCGGAGGAGAGGAAGGACTTCCCACATGGAGCCCAACAGCGCCGGCAGTGTGCAGTATGACCGCTGGAACGAGAGTAACATCAACATGAACGTGGAGGCGTCACAGTCGACTGTGATGAGGTGAAACATAAAGATCCAAAGACCGAATATGAAGATGCTATTTAAGAGCAAACCTACAGAGATGAGATAAAACCACAGGAGGCCGTGTTTGATAATGTGTGTTTGATATTGGTCATTTCATTCAAAATCAAATATGGTTTAGTCACTGCCATTTAACTCTGAAAGGACTTTCATCCATCAGTGTTTCACCTCGTTAACGTCCACATGATGTTTTTATATAATACAGACACATGATGATGAATTAATCATCAACACCATGACTGAGTGTTTCCACCTTTAACTGCAGTGAACCAATGACAGTCTCATAAACACAGATTCAGGGTTTCATACGTCACAAACCTAAGGAACCAATCCTGTCAATTTGTGGGGACGGGGGGCGGGGCTAAATAGACCTGAAATCTCGTCAGTAAAGAGAGAGAGAGTTAGCATTAGCACGACTGCTAACACTCTGTCAGCCTCTGTCAGTTACAAGCTAACAAACAACATAAACAAATAAAAGATGCTAACTACGCTAACCGTCTCTCTGATGTTGCCTCCTCTGACCATCTTGATACTCTTTCACCTGTCCACCTGGAGCAAGCAGATGGTGGGCGGGGCATAAGACCTGATCCAAGCTTACAGCTCCAGCTTTTTTTTTTTTTTTTGTCACTTTTTATGCTTGAAAATCATGTTAAACAAAATATTAATCATAGCAGTGGTTTTTTAAATAGTTTAAAACAATGTCTGGAGGAACTTTAATATTTCTTTTCTCCCTCCTGAGGTCCTCCAGATTTCCCTAGTTGCATTTTGACTCACTCATAACGTCACCTCCTCCTCTCCTCCATTCACAGGTTCTACTACAGAGTGTGTGTCAGCAGTACTGGAATAGCCATGAAGACAGCAGGAGCTCTGGCTGCTCTGGTGTCCATCTACATCATAGGATACGTGACGGGTTACTACATCCACAGGTGCTGATGGTGGAGTCCAGCTACAGACGAAATTAATCTGGACTTTGTAGATAAAAAAAAAAACAAAACAAAACAAAAAAAGATCACACTCACAATTAAGTGTTTTTTTTCTTGATTAAGTGGAGTGGATTAACTTCTATATTGATGTAGATACTGCAATCAAAACATTCATTTGTAATCTTGTTTCGTTCATGAATCTTGTGTCATATTTTTTTAATTTATATAAGAGTTTTTAAAATATTATTTATTTTAATTAAAACATTTTATTGTATTAATAAAACCTCTGTTGTAACAAAGCATCAATGAAGAGTCGTCTTGAGTATAAAAAAAATAAAAAGAATCAAATTGTGTCTTACAAAACTTACATCTAACTGTACATACATTTATAGAATAGCAAGAATAATACTTCTATATCAAACAAACTCCACCGTTGTCATGGTCGCCACTCCCTGCTTCTGTGTAGGTTTTGACTTACTGGTGTCATTGGTTTTAGGATCACTAGCGTCATTCTTCCTTTGTGGTTTTTGGAAGATCCGGCGGTGCAGGAGTAAGTGGTGCAGATGACTGAGCATCGAAAGTCCCGTTCATCAGTCTGGTGTCAGTTTCTGAATCCCCGACGGCTGCTTTGTTTCCTGCTGCAACACTGATTTCATTATGTTATTGTGAATCCAACACACGAAAGATTTTATTTCCTACAAACTTGTAACTGGGTATTAAATCCTTTTGATGGAGCTCATTGCCATGTGCTGATACCGCAGAAAAGTGTTCTACTTTCCTGTTTATGTGGGTATGAAAGCAAATCTGTCTCAGCAGAGTTTGACATTTAAAAGCCTGTGAATTTTTTCATGGTATTCAATTTTTGTATCTGAATTTTTTTTTTCTCTGAATTCAACTCTTTAAAAATTTCAATAACTAATTTCACCGCTTTCAAAAATTCAAATCCCACATGTTCAAGTTCCTGTCAAGTTGTTAAAAACTCTTCTGGGATAAGCAATCGATTCTGTCTCAAACTGAACCAACATCCAGCCAATCAAGTTACGCTCCACTGGTCAATTGCGGAGTGAGTTTTTCATTCTGAATTTGTGAATATTGAAAAACAAGTTCTTTTAAATTTCAAAATCTGGAGAGACAGATTTGCAGATTTCATGCTGCGTATTTCTTTAAGACGTTCACTCGCACTCCGATACGACCCTGAGCAGTGACATGATGTGTGAGAGAACCGGTTATAGTTTACCTACGAAGACAAAGAGCCACGTTGTACCAGCACACAACCTCACAGCAGAGCCATTGTTGAGTTTTTCATGTCACTTCTAACGTCTTTAAAAAGGTTCATTCTGTTCTGAACACCCAGTGTCTGCCAGTTCCTTTCCAAGAACAAAAGAGGATGCATTTTATGTTTGCAGATTTTTCACAGTTAGCATGAGCATTAGCATTATTTCATATACATGAATGAATGAAGCTTATTACCACGGGTTATTCTACTAACATCTTTGTACACACTATGACAGAATTTTCTCGTGCTGCTGCTTTAAAAAAAGTTTTATGACAATTTAATAACTTTTTTTACATGTTAATTCACAATGTTACCAGCAGTAATAATCAAATGCAAATCCCAACTTTGCATTTGTCACATAACAGTGGGAGGAAACATTACCAATGGTTACTGGAGACACCATGCACAGAACGGCTATGGCTCAGCCGGTTAAGAGACCATCCTTCAAACAGAGCGAGGGAATATTTTTACAGTAAATTCAGTTAAACTGTCACAAGCAGTCTGTAGACTGAAGCTGCTGCTGGTTCATATTATATATTGTTAAAAAGGATCTACTTTTCTGTTTCACCTGTAATTTTATTGTCACGGTGCAACAACCACATTATGATTTTGATGATCATGTTACTCTAAAGATCTGCATTCAAAACAATAAAGCACAATACATGGCAATAAAAATAGAACCATATTCATTGTATACGTGTACGGGATGTGTTTAAACCATAGGCAGACAACAGGTGTCAGCCAGATGAAACAGTCCAGCCCAAACTGCAGCATCACGCACAGTATGAACCTCACAAACAGATTCCATGAGGAACATCTCACTCTTTATAATCTCATGTGTTCAGTAAAACTCATCTTTCTTTCTGACTGTTGCGGCTCTGGCAGGCTGCATTTTGTACTTCGATCATGATTCAGCGTTGTTGCAGACTTCCTGCGGGGGGGGGGCTATGTTTTCTGGGCTCTCTCTTCCACATAGAGCTGCATCTGTAAAAGACAAAGAGAACAACCAAACATCAGTAAGAGTGGGGGAATTTGAATGTGAAATTAATGACAAGTCAACAAAACAAAATCACAGAATCAGTCAACATGTGTTAATCTGATCAATGGGATTAAAACTGATCAGATAAATGGATAAACTGATCAATGAGGTGGATGTTTCTGCTCACTTTCACTATGTCAGACGTCATGGTCTTCAGTGGGATGAGTCTGGGCTCCTGCATGTGGACTTCCTGCTCATCAGCAACTATCCATGGGAAATCCTGAAAAGAGGAAATGTCCATATTATAACATATTATTAGAATTTATTACGATGCTACTGAGAAATAATCATGATGCTGAGTTAGTGAATCATGTTTCAATCTGTGGGACGGCAGAGTTTTAAAATCCTCACCTTGATGACCTGGACCTTCTCCATGTTGCGTGTGGCGGCGTCTCTGGTATGTACTAATACTGTAAACGAACACCCTGTGACAAAAAAACAAGTCGGGTGTAAATGGGTGTAAATTATAATTTGTTGTCTATTCCCTCCTGAATATCACTTACATGTCATATAATCTCCTTAACAACAAAGTCTTTGTCATTACAAGCTTAATTCTCTTTTAATTCTCCAGTCCCTCGGCTTTCAGTTCAAACAGCTTAAAGCAGTGATTTACTTCCTTGCAATCTGAGTAGGACTACAGCTTCTGAGGAGCTGTGTCAGAGATATGTGTAGGACCCAGGAGAATGTTACACCCTGAACTACATCTCACAGGCTTATCCTTCCTGTCAGGTTACACTTGAATCCTGCCTCCTTTGTCATGATTGGCAGACATTAATTCCAACCACAGCCTGGTATTTTATGCTTTTAACCGATGTCCTATATCTGTTTTTCCTCTTTTATATTTCATCTGGTGTTTTTACTTGTGTTTTACTTGTTTTTATTTGATGTGTTAGACTTTAATTCTTTCATTTGATTTTATTCATTTTGATTGTGAAACACTTTGTGACTAGTGTCTGGGAAAAGTGCTATACAGATAAACTTTGCTTGCTAACCCTAAAACCATTGGCAACCTAAAGCATTTGCGTACCGGGGCTTGTTGGGGCACTACGACCTGGTGGGCTTGGTAACTTAAATGCACACTGAGATCAATCGATCCGATCACAAGTGGACAACTCTTAGTATGTCATTTCACACCTGGCATTTGAATGCGTCTCCTCATGCGTCTTGAATCTTGATTGGATCTCACTTCCTGCTTTATATGAAAATAAACATGTAAGTGTTGTTGTTTTAAGCCAATCTGACTATGACAGATGAGTCTGTTGTCAATATGAGTGAGTGAGAGAAAGAGAGAGCGGGGCACAGAGGGGCCGAGCGAATCATTGCACTGTGAACAGCTCTACAATACAAGTAAAATATTTAATATAAATATAAAATAGGAATATTTTCAGTTTGTTATGAAACTGTGGTGGGACTATTCAGACTGTGGAAAAGGACGTCAATAGAGTAGTTGGTCCAGACCACCTCTGGATGTGGTGAGTGATCGGCTCTGAAGTGTGTCCTCAATGCGTTCACACCTGAACTTAAAGCTGACCACTTGTGACTGGATGACCTGAGACTCATGGTAATACCGGGTCTGAACAGGGCCTAAGATTATTTTATTCAGTGAGCATGTGCATATTCATGAGTGAGGAGATGTGACAAGTTACATGGGCTCTGTCAAACACAGGTGTAACTAGCGAACCATCATTAATGTTGTAAATATCAGCATAAAAGATGGAACTGTATCAGAGTTTCCAGAGTTACATCCATCATAAAATGTCAGGAATTAGACCAGATCCTTTTTTTTTTAATTTAGGAGTATGACATGGATGTCATGTGTTTGTATATGTAGCTGTAGTGAACTGTTAATGTAATCATCCATGATGTTACCTGGTGGGTTATTATTTAAAACAGCATCACACACACTGATCTTCAGGATGAACGCCCTCAACAGCTGCTCCACATGTGACAGCAATGTGTCAGAGCTGTAAAGACAAAACCACAGTTAGTGAATATAATCACAGTAATAACATATCACAAAACAGGCACGTTACTTTTGCAGCAGTATATCAAGGATATATAATATATTTATATTCATTTCTTTAAAGTAATAAGGGGAAAACCTGATGGACAGCAGTGGAGGTTGGGAAATCTCAAACACAAATCTCTCTACTGGATGATGCTCTTTGTCCATGATGACCACCACCACCTTCTCTGCATCGTTCTGGGAGGGAAATGGAAGACTTCAGCACAGGTGATACATGTTACCAAATATTAACCCGTCAGCTTCAGGCAATTTCTTACCTTCTCAATGAGCGGCTTTACACAGTGTAGTGTATCCTGGATATACTGATTCAGCTCTGGGTGACATGACATCTAGAAATACACACACCAAAGACAGAAGACCAGTATTATAGAAATATAAATAGACACGACCTCCTACAAAATGTGAGCATATAAAGATTACACATTTATTGATCTGTACCTGCACAGGTACGTTGTATTTCTTTTTCTTCTGAAATATTCCAGAGGGATAAACTTCACGGACATACAGGATGAGATGAATAGCGACCTCCAGGAACTCACACAGGATGTCAGCAACCACTGAAAAGAGACGACTCCACTGGGCAATGTGATATTTCATGCATTCCTTTTGTTCTTGAATTGAGAGAAAGTCAAACCAAACTCAATGCAAATATCCGGCAATTTAGTGTTTCCCTATTAGCTCACATGTAATGACAAGAAACACAGGGCGACAGGATAATAGCTTATAGAGAAATACAACCGCTGATATGTATTAAACTGTCTGTGTAAATGGGTAATTTCCTTGGCGATGTCAAATTTAACTGCCATAAATATATATCAACAAAATTTTGTCGAGCCCTTCGTTTAACAAATCAGGGCTGGACACAGCTAGAGGAATGATGCTTGACCACTTCTTGATGGTTTGGTTGACTTACCTTGTCCAAAATTGAGGTCTTGCCTTGTAAGAGTTGTCATGTTTTTCTTCCCCAGCAACTGTAAAAAGAAAGAAATAGCTAATTTTCTAGCTGGCTCAAGCAGCAGTCTGTCAAGCCCTCATTTTCTATTTAAGGCTGTTTTTACTTCTTCGATGTTGTTTTTCTGTCGCTGCCTGGCACGATGTCAACCCAAGGGAAAGGAGAAGTAAACGTTCAGTTTTTACAAAGATACTACAAAAATGCTGAGGTAGATTTTAAAATGAACTAAAGATTTAATACAGTTCACGACCCGAAACGCGGGTTTTCGACCGTTAGCTTAGCTAACTCATAGCTGCGCCGCGCAGTACATAGACGTCAGTCGTTGTTTACAAGCTGTTTGGAGTCCACTAGTGATGACGTCGACATTTTGTGATTCTGTCGATTATGATAAAACGTTTACTCTATGTAGTAGAAATATATATTTAAAATATTAATATAATTAAAATAATTTGTTTTAGTTATTTATTTATTTTAACATTTTTTATTTTTAATTTGTGTGTTTTGATTTGTGCTTTATTTTGTATTTCTAATGTGATGATTAATTTAAAAAAAAGAAGAAAAAAGAATCTTTTGTGTTTTACAATTATATTATTTCCAGTGATGTTTTGTTAAGAGGTAGAGAAATATATTCGGAGCATAATTATTTGATATGATATTGACACTTGATAGTGACTGAGGTTTGACTGATGTGAAAATTAAAGATTGATTGTGACTTTTTATACAACGTTGTATTTCTTCCAGTACTATAGTACACTGAATGACAGGCAGATCCATGAGTATTAAAACGGGTACATTTTTCTGTTATGGCTCCACTCAAGATTGAATTGTAACAGTGAGGTTACTGTGAACAGTGTATGAATCCTTGCCCCTTTTTTTTACTGTCCCCAATTTTAGGACAATGCAGTAGGATAATGATCCAAAATAAAACAGAAAAGGTAACCGAGGAGTTTTCAAAGCGAGACAGAGGAATGTGCTTGACTGAACAAGTCTGTCAGCTGATCTCAAACTCCCTGACCTGCAGAAAACCAGACCAGGGAAACAAGCAACAAAAAAATAGCATAGGGTTCATTTCTTGAAGTATACAGCCAACAGGATGACCTTCTCACTATCCAAATACTCATGCACTGCACACGCTATACTCAGATGCTTTGTAAAAGCGGGGCAGGGCATCCCAACCCTCAGCTCGGTGGACTCACATGTAAAGGACACTGTCATGAGACGTGTTGTGCAAGAAGCAGTGATTGGTGCACAGCTCTCCAGAGATTAGAAAAGCTGTCAGGGAATCAGTCGATCGTGTTTATTTACTACTTTTAACTCTTGAAACAAAAGGAGACTTCGCAGCAAAAGTCAAAAAAATCGAATGAGATTAGCGGAAATCATACGATTTTCCTTCAAAATAAAACCACACACATCTGGAAGAAGGGAATATGTGTAAAAAATAAAATACATATGTAGCCTCCTAATGGTGCCCAGTACTATATAGCCTGACCTTAAATCATGTAAGTATGTCCAATAAAAAACACTCTATTACTAGCTACTGCTGTCACTAGCACTACTAGGCTGTTTAGCCTACATACATTTTTTTCCATATTCTCAAAGTTATGAAGGACGAAAAATTACATAAGTAAGAATAAATAAATAAATGTAGAAATACATAAATAAGTAAATACATGTAAAAATGCAAAAAAAATGAATACATGAATAAATCTTGAAATGCATAAATACACAAACAAATAAATAAATGTAAAAATACAGAAATAGCATTTTCTTAATTACCAAAATGTTTTTATATTGCATTTTTTCATGTATTTAATTATCTATTCCAGCATTCATTTATGTATTTATTTATACTTATACCATTTTCGTACTTCATACTAAATTGTGTTTAGTTCAGTTCAATGATTTAGACAAAATTGTAGGTCAAGGTGGCTTTTATTATGAAAGGGCCGCCATTCAAACAGAAAACGTTGCCTTTTAAATGGCTATTGACGTGACTGGCTGCAGAACCACAGATCACTACTGAGCCGTGATACTGGAGGAAAAAGGCGATAAGGTTTACACCGAGCAGGACTCCGAAGATGTTTAAATAATGAGGTGATTTTTACGAAAGGTAAGCTAGCTTGTTCACGATAACAAACCTTTTTTTTTTTTTTTTACATGATATAATCCCAGAAATACACTGTATGATAAGGTAGTGTAATTATGTAACGGGTTTTACACACTGTTTATGTTTTAAGCTATCATTGCACAAGCTAAATACAACCGGAGCTAAAGCCAAATGATGAGATGTGTAAAGTGCTCCAAAAATAAAGTTCATCAGTCATTTAATGTTAAATCCTCTGAACAATAGGCTTTTTAAAACAGGATTTTTCCATCACCTTGGACCTTAATTTGATGTAAATATTCACCTAACCCATATCTAACTGTCAGTCATGTATTAACCGCCGTTTGCATTGAGACTATGGTCTGTTCGCTTTATAGCAGCTGTAAAGTGTCTAAAAGCCTCAGTGCATTATCTTTTTTTTTTATGACAGTTCAGACACATTACTCTTCTTTGCAGGTTGTGAAATTGTGCAAGCCATGCCTTTTTTGGAATTCATAGCTGGCAGCATTTCAGGTAAAAACAACACATTTGTGCCAGAATAGAGAAATTATATACAGTAGTATTTGTGGTATAGTAGTGCAGTAGTTGTTATACATGTGGAGGAATAACATTTCCTTGTGTGTTATTGTATTGTAGGTGCAGTGGGACTGGCAGTTGGACATCCATTAGACACCGTGAAGGTTGCACGACACACTGAAATCCATAAACATGACTAAATGCATCAAACCCGCCTTTTTCTGACATCTTGTGTTTCATCTGCAGGTGCGCCTGCAGGCCCAGTCTGCGTATAAAGGGATACTTCACTGCGTGACTAAAACTTACGCTCATGAAGGGGTGGGTGTCATGTCCTCTTAAAAACTGTTTACACCAGATATCACTGTGTCAATTACCAAAAGACTCACACTTTATTTGTTTGTCGTGCTTTTTATTATATCAGCTCCATGGATTCTTCAAGGGCATGGCGTTTCCGGTGCTGACCACGGGCCTCACCAACTCAATTGTCTTTGGCTCTTACAGTAACGTCTTAGATTACCTCACTCAGTCTCAGCGCAGTGACCGCAGTGAAGGCAAACCGGCCTCTGCTGCACAGGTCTTCACTGCTGGCTGCTTCTCAGGTCTGGTGCAGGTAAGAACACCTGACGGTCACTGGCTGGTTTCATCCAAAGCAAAGCTTGCAGGGCAAATTATTTCTAAACTACTTCTAAGCTATTATTTAGTTTCATTTAGCATGCATGTTCCCCACCTGCTACGGGGCAGTTGTATAGTGGAAAAAAAATAAAGATTGAAAGTGTTAAGTTCTACTGGTCTCTTGCCCTAGAGGTTGCAATGTTCACTACAGCCCACAGAAGAAAAGTCTGGGTCAGAGCGGGGTTAAGAATGTGAAATTTGACCTGAGCCAGGCAGCAGAGGAGAGACCAAAGGTTAGTGAAAAAGCGAAGTAATCAAGCATGTAAAGTTTGACAATTATTATGTTCAAGTGGAGATTTAACCTGATGCTCATACCCAAGTATAACACAGGCTGAAACAACAGGATTCTCCTAGTAGTTTTTAACATTACTACATGAAAATGGAGGTGAAGGGTCACATACTCACTAACATCGTTAGGATTCATCCCAATCTTTAGTCTCACAGATTCTTTATCATGGACTGACGTGTTGGTCAATAATTAATTCTTCCCTGATTGTGCGGGAGGAAAGGTCACGGGGTCACCAAAATCATTAGGAGTCACCCTCAGTGGGTCAAGAATACCTGATCCAAATCTGATGACAGTCAGTAGTTGCAGTGTTTTTATGTGACCACCAGGAGGCCTCCAAGAGATCCTAACCAAGAGTTTCCACTTATTCACAACACTGCTGATAGCAACTGTCACTAAGGAAGAGAGAGAGCACACATTGACACACTGATGATACACCGGGGGCAATTTGGGGTTCAAGGATTGGAGGAGCTGGGGATCGAACCACCGACCTTCCGACTCACAGCCACAAAGTATTGGCTTTGGAGGCCTATAGTTCTGCCTGGACACTTGCTGACATTATCATCTAATGCATACTGCAGCTTCTGTCAACTACAGTACAGTATGTGTTTGATAGTGGTTGATGTATTTATCCCAATTAAACATTTACACATATATATTCAATCTGTTTCACCAACCTCGCTGTGCAGTATTATTTCTAGTTCAAATGAAGTTGACTGGTGTGGCATCTAGAGAGAGCAGATATGGTTTAATAATGTACCTGAATAGTAACTTCTACTGTCATCAGAACACTTGTATTTACAGGATAAGCATGGTATCATTCTGTTTCCTACTGAAGATGTATATTTTTAAAACAATTTCTTCTGTGTTTTATTTGAAGTGTTGATCCATAAGAAGATATATTTGTGGTTTTAAGAACCAAAAACCATGTCAGTATAGTTTTACATCTCCTCTCTCAGGCTTCTCTCTGGAGTGTAACAACTGGTCGGTGAGCCAATCACAAGAGAGGAGGCTCTGAACCTCTCTTCTGATTGGCTCACTGTTTTTTGAGTGATTCAATAAAAATAAAGCAGATTTCAGGTAAAAACACTCAGAGAAACCAAATCCTGCAAGGTTTGGATGGGGGGTCCAGGTGGGCGGGGCTTGATGACTGCTTTGTTGTGACATCACAAAGTTCCAGAAGTCCTGACGGCTGGTTTTAAGGCTCAGTTTCTGAATACAGGCTGTGTGCATTTCTCTGTGGACTGAGGCTTTAATACTTTCACAGTATTAATAGCAGCTGGGCATTATGATATCCAGCAAAAACAGGAGCAAGTGGTGCATTTGGGGACTATTTACAGCTCCAGATTAATGGACATTTGGTGTGCGGATGTGTATTTACAGCAGCTGGATGGTGTGTACTTGTGGTAAGGAAAAAAACATGTCATCAACAGTCCAACAGTGTGTCTCAATGGTGTGTTTCTAGTAGTTTTTGGACAATAATGCAAATATATAAAACAGAAATGAGTTATACACGTGTTGTCTGTACGTGTTGGTAGGATCAGTTCGTTGTTTTTCACCAGCCTTATCCTTTAAAGTGATATGATTTTAAAAGCTTGGTCACGTAAATCTTTCAAAAATACAAAATCCTCATGGTTTGAACAGTTTCAACAGTTTGGGTGAACTGACCCTTTAACGTGATCTACTTCCAGGTGTCTGTCTGTGCGCCCATTGACCTGGTGAAGGTGCGTCTGCAGGGTCAAACGACCGCTGACCGCTACCGTGGACCCCTTCACTGTCTCACCGTGATCCTGAAGGAGGAAGGGCCCCGGGGTCTGTTCAGAGGGGGGCTGGCCCTCGCCCTGAGGGATGTCCCCTGCTATGGACTCTACTTTCTGCCTTATGAGGTCACTCGAAAGGCTCTGACAGAGAGCGGCCAACAGCCAGGTCAGTTACAGAGCCTCAGATTAACAACGCTCAGTCCAGATGTAATCAGGGTGGTCTGTGAGGTTTGGAAGCTCATTTCTGTTCTGGAAAAAAGTATTTTCATTGTAATGTAAAATTTAAGACACTTTCACTAAGTCAAAAAGACAGTACGTAAAAATGATAAATTTAATGTGCGTAAATGTGAATTAGAATCTTATAATTTTGATTTAGGAAATTTCATAATTTTAAAAAGTCTTAATTCTGACTTAATAGCTCATAATTCTAATTTACCATGAGGATATTTTTGACATTCCTATCATTCTATTTCTATCTTTCTTTTTTTCTTTTCCTGGCAGAAATTCACTTCTGTATAAAAGATACCAAAAATATTTTTAAAATTAGAATCACTTCCTGATGGTTGTTTCCTTTCCACCAACCAGCCGAGCGGCAGGAAACATGGCCACAATCTCTCCTTCCTGAGTTACAGAGCTGAATAACGGCCAGAAGTGTTTTCACTGAACATCATGATTTCACAGTGAAGTTGACCTTTGACCCTTTGGATATAAAATGTCATCACTTCATTTTATCCTTATAGACATTTGAGATAAATGATGTCACTGTGACCTTGACCTTTGACCTTTGATCACCAAATCTAATCAGTTCTTCTTTGGGTCCTAATGAAGGTTTTTGTCCAGGGTTCATTTAATCCGCAGTAATGTTTCTGATTTCAAAGGTTAACTGCTAAACTTCTGTCCTCAGGTACGTTTGCAATATTGATGGCGGGGGGCGTGGCGGGCGTGGTGACCTGGGCCTTCGCCACGCCCATGGATGTGGTGAAAGCCCGGCTCCAGATGTCAGGGGCCGGCGGCCGGGAGTACAGCGGGGTCCTCCACTGCATGAGAGTGAGCGTGAGGGAGGAGGGAGTGAGGGTCTTCTTCAAAGGCCTCCTGCTGAACAGCCTGAGGGCGTTCCCCGTCAACGCCGTCACCTTCCTCAGCTACGAGACTCTGATGAAGATTTTCTGTCCACCGACGAGATGACGTCACTCCTGACAGTGAAGGGATGCGCTCGTGAGATCTTCCCACTCGGTCTGGAGATTTGGCTGCAGGTCGGATATTCTCAGGGTCACTTTGAACTTTTCAAAGTAGGTCAACTCTCACCTGACTCGTGTCAAGAGACCTGAACACGTTTGAAGACCAGTGAGGAGGAAGTCTTTGGTGACGTGAGCTGCTGTGATGGATGATGTCAGTTTTAAGCAGCTCATAGTTACTGGAACCCAAATGCATTTCACTTCGATAAAATGTGAATGTAAACATTATAACGTTGTTGCATGTGAGAATTCTTCATATTCTACATGTTAGTCACTATAGGTTTATTTTTTATATCAAAACATTTTATTCACATCAGCTGGACACAAACACTAAATGATTTCCTAATAAATAAATAAATAATATAAAGAAAGAAGCTGATTTCATCACAGGCCTCATATAAAGAATGAATAATGAAGACCATGAGATGTGGCTGAAAGTAATCTAGAAGCAGCTATAATCAATATTTTTACACTAACAATGAATCGAATGACGGACTTTAACATGAAAAGGGTTACTCATAATGAAGGATTCAAGATGTGCATGTAAATCACTGTCTGACCACTGAAAATACAAAACACACTTTCACAAGCTGCTCAAGAGAAAATACTTTTATTTTCTGTTCATCATCACATCCTCACTCAGGAGTTACATCACTGACGATTTTTTACATCCGATTTGCACGTTTTCAAACATACAGTTCATTAGTGCTCTGTCCGACCTCAGCACCTTTACTGACGCTCCGTGTGTTTGAACTTCAAAAGACTTCATGTGGAAGATTAGTGTAAAAAACATATATTCATACGGTATCAAGATTAAATCAACGGCGCCCTCCTGGTTCTTATGAAGGCTTCAACAAAAAACTATTTCTCAGACAATTACAGGAAATAGCAACGAAGAATGAACATGTTTATTATGTAAATTTTAAAAATGTTCAAGTCGGACTAGCAAACACAAAACAAAAACTTAGAGAACATCTTGAGATGGAATCAAACCGTGACCCAACTGGCCTTCATCTTGATCTGAACGACACACCTGTAAAGATTAGTGACTGTATCTTGCACACATTTAAATGCCTGTGTGGTTATCCCCTACACACACACACACACACGCGCACACACACACGCGCACACACACACACACACACACACACACACGGTGAAAGCAATATCAGCGACGTCGTCACGGCTGGTAAACACACTGTAGCTGTCAGACGCCTGGTGGGAAAGAAGTCTGGACACGACATGAGCGGAGCACAGAGACGCTCAGAATAAGACCCACATACATATTAGATTATTGGCACTGTGCAGCTGTTTTTGGCAACATGTTAAAATGGCACTGATGTGTTTTTAATGGAAGAAAGAAATCTGTGGAAGAAGCTTCACTTTCACCAAAATGAAACTTAGTGAGGACAGACACGGAAGCACCGGCAAAACTGAGTGAATGTTAATTTGAATTTGTCGTTGCAGCTCTTGAATTTATTCATGAACAGCTGAACATGCTGTTTGTTTTAAAGTAGCTACAAGATTAAATCCTACGAGTCTAAACTTGACATTTGTAATGCTGCTAAGAGTCCTTCTTTGCACAGGAAGCAAATGCAAACAACTGCAGTAAGTACAGTAAGTCAAATTGTTTTGTTTTTTTGTCAACACTGATGGATGCTTGTAACAGTTTGTTTATTAAAAATAACGCCCACCTTCTTATTTTACTGACGTGAGGTTTGTTTAAAACCTCTTTGATCGTCTGAGCTACAAAAACAAAACTCAAATTTTTCTTCAAGATTACAAACGTGAAACAAACAGCACCTCGTCCATACATCCACTCATTCGTTCTCTGAGCCCCTGTTTCCTGATTAGCTTCCAGGGCTGCTATCCCAGCATGCACTGGGGGTGATTCTGTTTACAAAGAAAAAACAAAAAGAAAACACAAGTACATACAATTCCTACATACACGCACAACTACTGATGATTAGAGATGAGCATTCGTAGAATGCAGCATGTGACTTTCACATGTTCCACACATTGTTTAATAAAAGTGTGTCAGTTGGTCAGTCTGAGCTCCGAACAGCCTCCCGTCTCAGGCACCTGTGCCCTGTTCACATCTTCTATTCAGATGCAATTGAGAGAAATTTTACACCGTAGGTTCTTCACCTTCACAAGTTAAAATCTTTTACCGCTTCGACACTCCACAGATATGCACGACGACATTCAGCAGCTGCTTTACCACAGATGAGAGACACTGGAATGCAGAAGTAAGACAAAAAAGCTTACAGAAGTCACTTCCTTCAAAAAGCTGAAGGACGCCCTGAGCTTCACCGTTTACTGACCAATATGAGACAAAGCAGAGGATCAAGGAAGATTAAAGTGTAATTAAAGTCATCAGGACAAAAAAACAAAAACAAACACTAAATACTGTTCCACAGGACGAGTGACGGCTCGGTCGAACAGACACCGACCTTTACTGAACCTCTCACTAACGTTAGCTTCACGCTCGACACTGAACAGAACCTGGATCCTCAAATATCCAGCCCTCCCGTCTGGACAGGTAAGGTAAGGAAACAGAACTCTGTCACTACCTTGATCCCATGTCAAGCAGCATGTTTAGTCTTTAGTGTCGAGTCCTCAGTGGGACTGAGGAGCCTGAAAGTCCTGGTCCTGCAGCAGGGATTTGTGGTTCTGCTCAGCAGCCATGGCCTGTAGGGTTTTCCTCTGGATCTGCCGGGCCTTGTTGTACAAGAAAACCCCGACGAACACGAGGGCAGTGCCGGTGGCGCTGAGGATGGTGATCTGGTTACTGAACACGATGATGCTCAGCCACACCGACAGGGCGTGTTTGACAGTGCTGGCGACGCTGAGGGAGAGATGAGGTTTGTTATTGTAGGCGTCAAAGTCAAATGAATCCAGTTTGCAGCCTGGATGAGATTGTGACCCGTTATTAGACACGTGGTTTAGACGCTGAACACACTCCCATTATAAACCTGTTAATCTAGCTACATTCACACAGTAATGAGTTCCACATTATGAGTCTCCACATTACTGTATGTGGCTGCAACTCAGATTATGGAGCATGCAGCCAGAGTGAAGGGGTTGAGTTTCTGTTTGACTTTACATTAGAATCCAACACTGTGAGCCGTGTGACGTTTGACCTTTTGTAAGTTTGCATTCTGACTATACAGCAAAATAATAAACATTAAAAACATTTTGTAACTCCACTTGCCACCACTGAAGTTTGCTGAATTAGCTATTAGCATCTCCTGTTTGCCAAGTTCCTACGGAGAAACTGTCAACTGTCGCTGGATTTCTCTGATACTGATGAAAAGTTAAAAACCTGATGATTCTCAGACGAGTTCTGGAGTTGAACAGTAAGTAAGTAAAGTGTATTTGTGTGGCACCTTTCACAGATCCAAACACAGACAAGGAAACAGGTCAATTTAAAAAAAAATGGAGCAGTTGTTCAGACAAAAGGCAGCGTAGATATCGGCCTATAATTCAGAGGCAGGTTGGGGTTTGTTTTTTTTTATCAAAGCTGAACTATGGCATGTTTAGAAAAGGTAGGGACAGAGTTGGTTTAAAGGGAGAGATTGTGCTGTTGCTTCTTTGTAGAGCTGGACACAGGACGGCACAGAGCTGCTGCCAGGACTGAGTGTGTCAGGACTGGACGCGCTGGTCAGTCACAATATTTAATCAACTCGCCACAAGTATATTCTGATCCCGTGTGAAGCTCTGCGCCATTATAATAACATTATAATAACATTATAATGGCAATCCACAAGAGTGCAATGAGCTGTTTACTAGTTTGTTGGTTTTTCTGTTATTCATTCATGTGTTCTGAGTTGGATTACTTTAATTAATTTGTTTTATTTAGCCCGTTAAAATAGAGCCCGCGGTAATCAGCTTCAGTTCACATTAAGACCCTCTGTCACACACTCGTTTTGTGCCCGCTTCCTACCTGAAGGTAACGGGGGAAATGCGTCCCATGAGAGCGTAGGCGGTGACACTCTGCAGGTGGAACAGGCCGCCGTCGAAGAGCAGCAGCAGGATGATGTCCTGGCTGAAGATGAAGCTCTGCCCGCTCTTCCCAGTCAGTGGAATGTCCTGAAAACACGGACAGCCATCAACATCAACACTACACCTGCTGCATCAACCCCCGACCTTCAGCCCTGCCACAGTCTGGATGACGAATGTGTCGTTACTCAATCGTCTAATATCTGACCAAAGAGGATGTGTAATTAATCCCCACACGTGACTACAGCCTTTACGTACAGTATGTGCCTTCATTAAACTGACCTAGCTCTAACAATAATTCAACACAACAATAATTATGCGTTGACCTACCAAGAGAAACACCCAGGCAGGTATGAGCATGATGACAGCTGCTGCACTGGTGTAGAACTGCAGTTCTGGGGGGCTGAAATAAGTCAGTGAGATAATGAATGAGTTTTTTCAGGAATGTGTCACTTCACAGTTAAAAATAGAAAGTGTCGCAGTCTCTCACCTGAACTTGTACGTGTCTCCGCTGAGCAGTTTTTTGGAGAATACGTTCTGCAAACTGAGACCAGAGATAAAGGGTTAGAGAAAGCATCACTCTGCTGTGGAACAGCTGAGTTGAGCGCTGCAGTACCAGTCCATGATGTTGGTGGAGAGAGCGGCGGAGAAGCCGAGCATGTTGAAGCTGATCTCCGTGGCTGTGCAGAGGGCCAGGCCGGCCATGACGGGGAACAGGGACAGGTTCACCCACAGCCCTGCAGATTGATGAACAAACAGGACGCGCAATGAGACGAGTCACTGCAGCAAAGCAGAGTTAAATTCACGGCTCCAAAGAGACCAATCAATAATTTATCTAACAAAGATGGAACCTAAAGCCGAACGATATGCAAAGAAATCATATTGCAATTATTATTTGGATTATTTTATTTTTGGATTTCAATTGAAATTATCATTTTTGCATTTTTTTATTTCACTGAAAGTGTTTAAAATGATGCTGATGTGATTTTTGTTGATGCTTTCACCAAACAAACATGTTCCTGGAGCGTCTCCTGTAACACCACAACACTCATGGCGCTAACAATGCACAACAATGTCATGACACATTTCACCGTTATAAAAATTATAAAGCTTTTGTTTTTTGAGCTGTATCAAATGTTTTACTGACTGTCGTTGTTTTTAATTATCGTTATCAGTAATTTTGTTATTTTCTTGTTCCCTATTTCGTCTTTGATTTTAATTCATATTATTGTTTTGCATTATGATGTCATGTTTACTTGAGAGGACCCTCGATAAACTGCAGCTCCTTTGGATATTGCACTTGGCCATATTGCGATTTTGATTATATTTTGATATTTTGCAGCCATTCACATCGTTTCAGTCATGACTCTGCAGAGTTTTATACATCAGGCCCCTGGGTTTCCTGACCTTTCACACCCGGGCCCCTCAGACAGACATGCGTCAGTGTGTATCTACCTGTGTACTCCCCGAGGATCAGCCTGGACATGATGACGGTGAAGATGGGCGCTGAGCTCTTCACCGTCTCTGCAAACGACACCGCAACGTTCTTCAGGCTCACCAAGCCCAGAACCACTGTGGTGAACCTGAGAAACATGATGTCAGAACTGGTGTAAAATCCTTTTTAAGTTACTTTCTTAGAAGCTACTCGGTAACTTTCTAATTTGGGTTGAACCAGTGAAAAAAACACAAGTAAAACCCCCAGCAGTTGTTATTTAGACATGCATATATAAAGAAGCATGTGTTTAAGCTTAGTTATTTGAGGGAACCTACCTCATGAGTCCCACAAATAGCATGATCATGACGAAGTTGGGGGGGTACTCAGCTCTGGACTTGTGCTGGTACAGGCAACAGGGGACAAACATCTTGAGGCAGCCGATGACTGTGGTGGAAAGCATCTGAATAGCACCTGTGGAGCACATGAGGCACGACAAAGCAGAGCTACAGCAACAACAAAAAAAACCCTGCAGCATGAATGTCAAACAAATTTCTTGAGCTGCTTGAACTGCAGCTGTAACCTAATATTTATCTTTGCCACATGTTTCCACAGCTACACCGGTGCAGCAACATGTTTGTCCAATTATCTACAGCAACAGTCAAACAACAAACTTGCAGGACATGGAAAAGATTTAATTAGGACACAATTTAATACAACATCATCTTCAGATCACCTTAAAACTGTTGCTTTAATGACAAATATGTTGTTGGAAAAGTCAGATTCAGAAGGAAAACTGTCTTTTTTGCGCTACAATTTTTGGCATCTGGCAGGAAGTTCTGGGCGCTGAGGTGTCCCTGAATGCACCAGAAGTTTCTTCCAGATTGTGTCTTCTGATATCTGCACTACCAGTTATGTAGTGCAATTGTCCCGTGCAGGTTTCATGTCTCTGCAAGTTGTGCCTGGAAGGAGGTCAACCCCATGACTCATCATATGCTCAACGGTAACAACGTGCTAATGTAATATACAGTAAACAAACATGCAAAGCAATAACTAAGTTTCATAGCTTGTTCAGTGAAGTTAATATTTGTAGCAGGGGTATTGAACATCTCCTTACCCAGCATGCTCGGCTCCCCTTCCAACAGTGACAGGATGTACTTGTTGAGGAAGAGGGTGCAGAAGCTGAAGAAGTACCAGAGGCCCAGGTAGGTCATGGAGCGCCAGTTCCACACGCCGGACTCCGCCTCAATCACCGTGGTCTCCGTGACCGTGATCTTCAGCACCTGTTCCCCCGGCAGGCTCTCGCTGCGGGCCAGCACCACTCGCTCCTGCCGGGTGGCAAAGGGTGACAGGAAGCGCCACAGCGGCTGCCAGGCAGTCTGCCTGCCGCCAGGCATCACGCCTGCCCGCCTGAGGGGACCTCAGGAGCCCCGACAGGTGGGTGCCAAGAGGGGAGATGAGGAGGTGGATGAAGCTTTTAAAAGGTTACTCCATCTTCTGATTGGTCCTGCACTTGATCAGTCTTGTCAGGTGTGCAGTGGCTGCTGGGAATGTTTCCAGGACAGGTTTTCTGCTGCAGCAGCTGGAAAGAAAAAAAATCATCTTCTGTCAGGTGAGAGGAAAACAAGAGGGATGAAAGTTATGCTCTTCAAAAGGTAGTTAGTAACAGTCATCTACCTGTTACAGTTTATTAATATAATGTGTTTTGTCACATGCAGTCACAATCACTTCTTTGCCATTCACTATGTTTATTATTATTGTTTGTATTTAATTACATTTACTGTATACTGCATTGATGCTGCCTGCAAACATCTCATTTTAAACACAGCAGAGCTCCTCACATGAAAGAGCAGTGGTGTGTGTTGCAGAGTGCAGACGGAGGGTAAAAGGTGAACAGAACCAAACGAGAACCGCAACAAATGTTCACATAAATGTACATAAATGTGCTCTAACTGATCATTTTAGGAGTAAATAATTAGAAGCCCAGATGCACCGTTACCGTCAAGCAGACAGACATCATAGTTAAGTTTGGTGTGGCTAGCTTCCCCTGGTGAGAACACAGGGAGCCACAGGACAAGGTGCAAACTCTAAATGTGATCGTACCAAGAAGACGGACTCTTACCTCTGAGTGTTGATAATGGAAAAATAAACCAAACGAGATAGCGACGAGTATTATAAAAGGAGGAAGTTGCACATTGACGTTAGCTAGCCGCTTTTTGTTTGCGGCAACACTGGATACAAATGAGTTGAAGCTAACAAGCCAGCAGTGATGCTCGCCATAGTCAACAACATGAGGGCGTGTTGAATGAAACTAAGTCCAAAATACACAAACGTGCACCTTTCTTTCTGGGTTACCCGTAACTGTGCACCTGACTTTGAGACGTGGCTGCTAGCAATCACTGCGCAGTGTCAAGCTAGCCCGAAACAGCTAGCTACAAGTCAAACCCTTCAAAACTAAAACCTCACTCTGCGAATTTATTTCATTACTAAACCCAATGGCTGATGAGTTCAAGTTTATATTATCGTGATGATTTGCCATCACATTGACATTACATGTTATTGCTCATTCTTCGAGTCGTTTAATCCTAATTAATTACATTTCGTCTGAATCAAAAGAAAAGATGCTTTTATTTTTTAAGGCATAACCGCCGTGTTTCCGGTAGGACTTATTCGAACTTGACGCAGCTGCCACGAGACAAAATAGATGATGCATTCAAGATCTTCACGTAAGTTTTCTGTTGAGTGTAACATGTTTGAAATAAATGATCTGATTTGAAACTTAAATGTACCGGTAAAATCTCACATCAATAAAAATAATAAGACGTGGAGGGGCGGTGTATGTAGTGTTGTAGTTCCCAGCTGTGACCAGGAGGGGGCGGTAAATACATAAGAGTCTAAATCATAAGCCTACAAGGGCTTGGAGACATGTGAGATTGTTGATACTGATACAGGCCTTTTTTTGTTTGTTTTGTTTTGGGTTTTTTTGAGCTGGTCGAGGTGTAGCTGCAATTACAATCTGGAGACAGAAATTCAAAAGAGCACCTGTTGCCATTGTCAGAAATTATTGTTCCACTTACTCCACCCTCCTAATTACCCGCTAACTTTCCTTTATATGAATACGGTTGCAGAGCTGTTCAGATGGTTTTAAATCTCTGATCTGCTCATGGTAATTATTTCAGAGCTCCCTTATCTCTCTCAAGTCCCATTGACCTGAATAGCAGAGATCTGGTCTGAACAAAAAGGGAGGTTGTTCCTGAAGTAAATTTCAAGACCCATTAAACCTGTTGAGTTAGATAATTTCTCTTTACTTTCTGTCAGTGACTCACTATGAGATTATCCACCCTCTTTTGCACTTTTTGTTCACACGACTGTATTAGTATTTACAGGGTAAGGTTGAGACCTTACTTTATTATAGAGAGTAACCCAACAGTTCCCACAAAGAGCAAGCACTTGCCGACGGGGGGGGGGGGCTCCCTTTTAACAGGAAGAAACCTCCAACATATTTGCCTTGAACAGTTGGGTGGTGGGGTAAAATGTGCAATGTCATCCCTGTTTGCTCTATAACAATGACTGGGGCTCTGATGCTGTGAGGCCTTAAAATGTTTGTCTAATTCCTCACATCAAAATGAGTGTTTTATATCTTAAACCATATGTCCAATTTAAAATCTGGATGAGACCTGTTAGGTGCACTACACAGCTACTCTAGATGATAAGGTTAGTGACGTAACGCATTTCTCACAGTAGCTCAAAGTAATTTCAGCTTTATAACTTCAGTAGCCTGATGAAACAAGCCTTTGGCTTTTTTAGAATATGACATTTGCAAGTTTATACCTCCAGTTTTTTTTTTTTTATTGTATTAGTTCATAATTTGCACTCATTAGTTCTTAATGTGGGGGGTTGAATTAAAAAGTGCATTCAACATTTTCATGTCACTTATGACATTTAATCGATATTTTAACGGAATACGGAAGAAGTGCCCTTGTGTTGACTATGAAGGATTTGGGGATTGTCTGATTTCTAGCTTTAAGACTGATAATACAGACTTAACTGTCCTTGGGCACAGGAATAACATGTGGCATTTAAGCCTTTAATTTAGTTAAAATTGCTTTAAAATTTAATGATGTTTATGAATGTTGTGATTATTATCTATTGGTATCTTAAGCTTCATACACAGCTGCTGTTGGACTTTTACCTTCACTTCTCGCTGCAGTTCATGGCTTTTAGCTGCAGCTTATGAAGTTTGAACGATCCTTTATGGATTTTGTGTGACTTGCAGCTGAACTTTTTGTTTGCTGGTTCACTCTTTCCTTTCCTGTGTCCATGAGACACCGCGGCGAAACTACTCACAACACCGGATTTCTCGGCCGAGTCGTAAGAATCACAGCATTAGAAAAGTAAACTGTGGCACCATCGATGTGGGGAACATGAATGTAGGCCAATAATAAGACATATTAGGTTGAAAAATACCTCCATGGTGGGGAACAAACAGACACCTGTAACAGACGGTGGAGCAGGAAGGGGAGGGGAAGAAACCGAGCAGAGGGGAGCTCGTCACTGTTACACACTGCCCTCTTGCGGTGATTGGGCGCCATTTCGGATTTAAATACGGAGATCGGATATCGGAGATTCTGTTAGATTGGGGAAATGGCTGACTTGTATGGTAAAAGCATAGATTAAAACAATGAATTGAATGGAACTGAAACATTGATTGTTTGGGAAGAGGATCACAAAGTTGATACGCTGAATAAATTGAACTGGATGTTTGTCGCTGGTCCGTGTAAGTTCAGAAAAAAAACTGACTACCTGAAAGTACATGGACCCAGGTTCTGCCGATGAAGGCAACAGAACCACCTGCCCTGTGATTGCACTCTGCTTTGCGATTGTACTGAATACTACTACTAAATTAACTATTTTATTGAGGTTGTATGTGCCACTAAACAGTGTCAGCTAGAATTAGGCACAGGGTGAAAAAGTCTCCCATTTTCATTGGCACCTGTAAATACCACATAAACCACAACCAAGTAATGTTAAGTGTAACAGACTCTGCTTCATTTGCTGTGTTGAAGTGTGTCCCCCAATACATCCATGGTGTCCCCTGATAATTGAGTAGGGCTGCCGTAAAGTGTTGGTTGCTGTTGGAAACTGTTCTGTGGTCACATGTTCGTACAGAACTGAAGATAAATGTGGCGATAAGACGCTCAGTTGCGTCAGGTTTCATGCTGAGAAATTTGTTGGAACATAGAGATGGGTCATCTGGCAAAATGATCATTTGATTATATTTTTGAGTCATTGCAATCCAAGATCATAATCACTATCTGCATTCTGTTTCCGCTCTGATTTTTATTTTATTGTGGCCCTGTCTGGAAGTTGTAATTTGAATCTTTCCGCCGCTTAGACGCTATTTTCACTTTTTCCCCTTTCCACGCTGTACGTCAAGAAAGCGGAAGTAGTCAAATGGCGTGGGTGTTCACATCCGGTTACCTTCAGTGCCTGCAGTCGGCCGGTAAAACACCTAAACGATGGATAAAATTATTTTCAAGGAATCACTCTACAACTTACCGAAGACTACAATGGCTGATGTCAACAGAAACGCCGAAATGTTTTCCTTAACATCAAGTGCTAAACTTGAGACAGGCTACAAGTTACTTATCGAAAACTACTTCTTCGACTATCAAGATTAGCTCCCTGATGCTAGGCTAACGCTAACCGTGTAACGGCCTGGGCTAACTGTAAGCACGCTCACTGTTGAACGATCTCTGGATATGTTGAGTTTATTTTCATCATCGTGTACGCACTCAGTCATAGTACAAATACAGAGCGGAAAACTGCATGTAAAACTCAGCACTCAGTGTTTGACACTGCAGTTACAAGTAAAATTTTTGACCATGTTTTTACAAGTGAATCCACTCAATGATAGTCCAACTTTTTAAAATCTTTCCAGGATTTCTGTTAACAGTTCCTGCAGTTGGGAGCTTTGCGGCTACCTCCTTTTGAAACTAATAGGAGCTTCCTGCATAACACCTGACTGAGTGAATAATGGTAAGTGTAATGAATTTTAGTTAAAAATGTTACCCAATACTGTATTTTGAACAGCTGCCTAAATTGACCTGGTTTTCCCTGCAATGTAAAGTTTGTTTTATTTCGTATAATTATGTGTTTTCACAGGGATAGTAGAATCCACCTCAGGCCAGTGCCACACCAGCACAGAACCAGCAAGAAATGGTAAGTCATTGGCATGACTGGTCGCAAGCTAGCAGCCTCCCTTGGGCATTAGCATTTATATTTATAACATTGTAAATGGAGAAGTGCTAGTTGCTGTTCCCTTTATTCCACTCAACAAAACAAAATTATATACTGTAAATAAGATGTCATAAAAATATGTTTAATGGTGGAGTCTCAGCTTGTTATACAACCCTGTGTCAAATGATAAATACATGAACCTTGTAGCCTGTCTTTCACTTATTTAGTATATATTGTGCATTATGACATATTCCTCACTATTACCACCTGTAAGAGATGAGTTGGCTGTTCAAGTGACTGTACAGGACAAATGAAGATAACTGAGTATAGCCTACATGTAGAAAATAACAATTATGTTATAAACAGCAAATGGACTGAATGATTATAATAAACTCAGTGGTAAAGAAGTGACACCAGTTATCTCTTTACAGGTTGGATGGGTATGAAATGTGGTCTAACCCTGCTTTCATTCCCTCAGTCTGCAACATGACTGATTACTGTCACCCTGGCAACGGGTTCCTGTTTAGTAGTTATGCATATTAACAATGAACAATAAAATTGTAATATGTCATTTCTTAACAAAACAAATAGTATTCTTTGTGTGTGTGTAATTCACAAACAAATATTAACATTTGAAAACCTTTCTTACTGTCCACATCCAGGCCATATGGAGATGTGCAACCGGAGCTGCATTCAGGGTCCACCAGGTGTGCAGCTGTACACAGAGACTGGCCCCTCATCTGGTGCAGTTGGTCCTCCCCTCGCCCCAGCGTACGCCCCTCTTCTGCCTGGACTACCTGTGCCTAGGACCAGAGCCTACAGGAAGAGGAAGGCGGCCCGAAGCTGTTGGTTGGGCAGAAGCAAGGGTTGCTGCCTGGAGGAAAAACCCGTCGGCATCAACATCATACAAGTGCGGCCAACCCAGAAGGATTGGCACTGACCTCACTCACATTTCAGGTGTGTCACACTGTGAGACTATTGGTGGAAAGACTGCGGAGGGATGAAGAGAAAAAGGAGGACAACTTTTCCATCTTCATTTTAGCTTTTAGTTTACATTGTTTATTATTTTATTATTATTACTTCCAACTAATGTCTCATGAGGATTCTCAGTCCAGTGTTCCCTCTGTTTTAGCTCTGTGTTTGGTCTCCACCAGCTCC